GTTTCTGACACAAACAGGAGTGTTTAAAAGTTTTTATCTTGGCTCCATTTTTTTTTTCTATCCCCAAAAACTGGCATTTGATCAGGGGTGTGTAGACTTTACATCCTCTGTATAAGTGACTTCAAAGCGAGAAAACGAGGGCCCTACTTGAAAGCGATCTTCCTTAGCCAGACGGCTCTCGCGCAGGTGTGATTTTCTCTTTCTTCTCGGCGATGCGGGGGCACCACTTGCGGGCGCAGGCGTCCGGCAGGAAGGGGACCTTGTCCAGGCGAGACAGGTAGACCAGAGGCTGGATGGTGCTGCTGATGTTGAGGAAGGCAAAGCCGACGGGCTGCACGTAGCAGCGGAAAACATCGGGCGAGTAGTAGTCCTCGAAGGGGAACAGGGCCACGGGCGGCAGGTAGTTAACGACGATGATGCAAAGGATGGACAGCACGATCTTAAACGCCTTCCTCTTCATGGGCCGCATGTCGTCCTTCCCGACGCCGCCCGACTTCTTCAGAGCCCACAGGATGCTGGCGTTGCACACCACCATCCAGGTGAACGTGGCCAGGATCTCACCGGTGAACACCTTCTCGAAGTCGGGCAGGCCGCCCACCATCTTGGCGGCGGAGTAGGCGAAGGTGAGGCCGAAGACCAGCACGGACAGACTCAGCTGGTACTCGACGCGCTTGAGCCGTCCGAACACCAGCGGGAAGACGACGGCCAAAAAGCGATCCAGGCAGATGCAGGAGAGGAACAGAGGCCCGCTGGTGTCCTTCACCCCGTAGGAGAACTTGAGAGCGGACCACACCTCCTTGCTCTGCCAATGGTAGAGGTTGAGGAAGCTGACGGGCGTCATGGAACCGAAGTAGGCGTCCATGAAGGCCAGCGAGCCCAGGTAGATGTCGGATGTGGCCGGCTCCTTGCGGTTGCGCGCCAGCACGGCGATGACCAGCAAGTTGGCGGGGATGCCCACCACCACGTTGATGCACTGCAGCGTCAGATCGAACAGGATGCCCTCCACTTGCGAGTCGCAGCCGTCGAACACGCTGAAAGCTTTGCTCGTCCCGTTGTCCCGCGCCGTCGCGTTCGCCGGTGTCGGCCAGGAGGTGTTGGCGACCATGGCAGCGCACTATGACGGGAGAAAAGTGTGGTTGTACGGGGGAATTGAAAAAGTCTGCACACCCCGGTTCAAATACCAGATTTCTGGATGTAAAAATGTAAATTGCTGCTACCGTTTAAATGGCCTCCGATGAAGCGCAAATGAAGTTCTGACATTTTTGGGGCTGCTCACAGAAGCCTGAAGATTGTTTGGGAACAGTGACTGATATTTTGAACTGCTCATAGTTGCCCCCATCTTGACCATGGAAGGAATTATGAACAGTTACAAATACCAATCACTGCTAGCGGAACACTTTCAGACTGTTATTTGGAATGATTCATATTTCGCTCCACCTTGTCAAAGGGAACTGGGGCCATAGACAAGGTGGAGGGATCAATGAACAGTTGTAAATACCAATCACTGCTCGCAGAACACTTTCAGGCTGTTATTTGGAACTGTTCGTATCGCTCTCCACCTCGTCTAAGGGAAGTGGGGCCATCGTCAAGGTGGAGGGATTAATGAACAGTTCAAATACCAGCAGGCGCACGCACAAAACCTTCAGGCTGTTATTTGGAACTGTTCATATCTCTCTCCACCTCATCTAATTGAACTGGGGCCATAGACAAGGTGGAGGGATTAATGAACAGTTCAAATACCAACCAGTGCGAGCACAAAACCTTCAGGCTGTTATTTGGAACTGTTCATAATTCCCTCCACCTCGCCTGCGGGGAGCTGGGGGCTTAGTCACGGTGGAGAGATTTACAAAGTTCCAAACAGCAGTCAGCGTTATGGCAAAACTCTCGGGCTTCTGCTAGAAAGGAAAAAAAAATCCTAAGATCCTATTGAAGCAGCTGAACTTTATCTGGGGCTAACCAGAGGCACTTAAAATGATGGCATGTGTGTGCTGGTTGCCATTTAACATGAGTTGACTGGTTAATATATTGCAGTGGCACGAATGATAAACCGCAATATAATGCACGTCCACTTTAAATCGATCTCTCGCTTCGCGTAAACACGTTCCAAACCCCATCAGGGCTTCTTCTTCTCCTCAAGCTGTTATCTTGTTTTTGTGACTTTGCGCAGCCTCCTCTGGGACCCCGGGCCTCTGTTTTCGGGGCCATCTCCATTACCCGGGAGGACTCCCGCTTCAAGCTACGCCCATTTTAACATGAATATAAGGACAACAGTCGGCACATTAATTGCATGCTTCAGCAGTTTATGGATGGACCCAAACCTTTTTTTATTTTTAAACATGGAGTCTTATGAATGCCTTTTCTGTTTGTGTTTCTTTTCTTTTTGGGGGGAGACGACTACCGAGACTGATGTTTTTTTTTGTTTTGTTTTGTTTTTAAAGAAACGTGAGGTGTTTGTGTAAGCCACAGAGGCAACGATTGATCCTTGTGTGGCCATTCAGGACAACCTGTTCCTTCTGCGGATTGTGTTCCCTCGGGTCCTCTCATGAGACTAATCATGTCGACAAGATCGTCTCCAGAGATGCAACGTGAAATCAATTGTGGTTTTACGTGAAAAAAATAAAAAATAAAACCACCCACCAAAATTTATTAATTTTTTTTTTTTTGGCATATCATATTCAACGATTATGAGCCTTCATAGTTTTATATAAAAAAGAAAATGAAAAACATATCAAGAAATGTTAATTTTTAAAATATGCTTACCTGGTCCTGTAATTCTATTTCTTTCTTCTTTTTTTTTTTTTTTAATATTTTAAGTCGGGAAAAAAAAGTTTCACCAAATTTTCAACCCCAAATGTCCATAAACATAGATTTATATATAGTCGCTGATGGTGTTATAGAACACTCGCCTGACTTATGTGCAAGCAGTGTGGGATCTATAGATGCTAGTTAAGTATAGCTAGGTAACCAACTTCTACAAAAATGAATAAATATTATGCAAACTATCTAGGATCCTCAATAAATTATGAGAAATATTACATTGGTAATGTCCTGTAGATTAGCGCAATATTACGAGGAACGTATTTCGTTTATTTGAACATTAATGCGGGAGAAAACCATGTACCTATTGTGGGATCTATAGATGCTAGTTAAGTATAGCTAGTTAACTATCTAGGATCCTCAATAAATTAAGAGAAATATTACATTGGTAATGTACTGTAGATTAGCACAATATGACTAGAAACGTATTTCATTTATTTGAACATTAATGCAGGAGAAAACCATGTACCGGTACCTATTAGTGATGAACATAAGTGTGTCATATTAACGTATTTGTCTTCGTAATATACTTTTAAATAAATACGATGAATATATCCCGAAAACTCACATAAAAGCAATGAAAAATTTAGATTATTGGCAGAATACAGACGTATTATTTGAATTAATCTCAACTAAAGACAAACAAAGTGCACAAATCTGCAAAACTTAATTTTGTTCATTTGTTGTTACTCACCAATGTGAAATAAAGCTGTTTTCGGAATAGCGGGAGGGACGCAGCCTCAGTCAAAACTGTGTTCGAGTGAGTTGGGCTTTCTTCCATTTATAAAAGGTGACCCGAAGGGGAGGTTCTCCTGGAGCTTTATAACATCTTGTGGTCCTCAAATTGTTTATTCCGCAACATATTCACCGCCACCGTTTTTGTCTCTCTTCAATAAAGGCTGAAACAACACAGAGTTGCAGAGTAAATATTTGCTATTTACTTTTCCTATTAAGTGTTGTTGGATGTTGTCAAACTTCCCGTCGACTCTGTCAATGTGAAACTTCAATTGAAGGAACTTCTTCAATAAAGGCTGAAACAACACAGAGTTGCAGAAGAAATATTTGCATACTTTTCCTATTAAGTGTTGTTGGATGTTGTCAGACTTCCCGTCGACTCTGTCAACGTGAAACGTCAATTGAAGGAACATTTTTTTTTTCAGAAATTCAAAATATTTGTTACATAGTACACAATCCACTTGCTAACCGAATCATGTTGCTAAGGTCATCAAAAGCTAACTATCAAAAATGTCCACCCTGTCATTGTCCACCAGTGCACATATTTTGCTGTTTACACGAACATTGTTTACTTGTAGTTAATTAACCAAAAGGCACTTGATGCTCATATTGACTCACATCTGTAAAGGAGATACTGGACGTAGAATATTGTTTTGGTCCAGAAGTAAGTCCATAGCAACTTTCTCGGATCTCCTGGGGTTGTCATGTAGAGCCGGAGAGTGTCATGGAACTCTCACTCTTCTATCTTCTTTGCTATTGTAAAATGGAGGCCCTAAAATTACAAGACACAAACACGTTGAATTAATGAGGCAAAAAAGTACGCAACCAACCATCAGGGGGAAAAAAACAATCCAAAATAGAGCTGTGACATTTAAACGGGAACATGAGGAAAACTCGTAGTGGCTGCTTTTCTGCTGTAGGGGGCACCAGAGATCAACTTTTCAGACTCAACACTTGAGGAACGACTCAATGACAAGTCTGCCGTGTCAAAGTTAATAAAGTAATGCACAAGGAACCTGTTGGGATTCACTCGGGACTTACAACTTTTAATTTTTCCGTGACCAAGCTCGTAACGATGTTCACCCGTCCGATTCGTCAAATCACTTTTTCCCATTGGCACGAATTGAACCCCAACATAAAAAAAACAGTACTGCATTGCATGAAACCATAATGAAACATTGAAGAAAATATGAAATAAACAATTTTTAGAAAGTGTAATTACCGGTACTGTTCGTCATGTAGTATTCGTGTGTTGACACACATGCACTTCTCATTTATAGGAACGTTTATCGAACGGTTATCTTAGTCTTGACTTGTACGGGTTAAGGGTTAACTCATGGTGGAAGAACAGTTTTACGATTTGAAATGGTTATCATTATTACGTAATATTTTAAATTAGCAATATGATTAGAATTCAGATATCTGACATACAGACTGAAATACAGCATTTTAACCTCTATGTATGTAGTCATGTTTTAACATCTGTAAAAAAAAATTACTGTTACTCGGTGAAACCTCCCCCCCCCTAACCTCATCTACAATGACCATGCAGTCCCTTGTGTCAGTTCTACAAATCAAACATTTGAGTGCCAAGCTTGTCTCCAAAGTGCAATTGACATTTAATTTTCTAAATTTCCAAAACCATGCCATGTAATTTCATTAACACAAACTATTTGCAAAATTTCAATCAATAAACCGAATGACAATTACGATTCAAAATTAAGTTCTTTATTGGAATATTTTCCAAAGCACTTGTCTTGCGACAGAACAAAAATAGCCATGTCTTTTCTTAAAAAACAAAAATGAAATCCCAAGATGCTTCCAAAATGTACTGAAGAGCTTTCGACAAAATATACATGGAGAACTCGTATACCAGTCATAGATTGGCCTCTGAATAAATAGCAAACATGGAATAAAACTTTTGTACATAATTTAGGCATTCCATTTATATTTTCAATCAAAATGACGAGTCAACCCAATCAAAGAAAACTCGAGCCCTGCGCCACAAGCGACCACATCTGCAGTGCATATAAAACATCAACCCCCACAACAGTGGCTAAAATATTCGACAATAACGATGGGTTGTTTTGATATAAATCAACACTGACAAAAGCAGATTTCATAAAAAGACAGCCTGCATGATGGGACATAAAATGTAGCGATTACATTCGGTCTAGGTCTCAGATAAGGAGAAGCGGGTAAACGTTACTCAAGGGAAATCGGAAAAAAACAAACCTAAATTCCGGCAAGCGTTGATTCCACACATTCCAAATTGCCAAATGGAGGTCCGGGCATCTGACTTTCAGAGCCATCAGCGTAAGTTAAAAAAGTTTGGGAGAGAAAAAGAGTCCATCCACAACCACACCCGCACATTTTGTCCATGCGGGTCTCCTCATGTGGTTTGCAGTGTTGCTGTGTACTTAAAGGGTGACTTGCATCATGTCGTAAAACATTCCCATCCACGGTTGGCGTGGAATGGATGATGACACACGACGACCAGCCAAATAAAAACAGGAGGTTAAAAAAAAAACTAACAAAAAAAATTGTAGCTTGCTTTGTGAGTCTTGTGCCCTCGTAGGTTCATTCAGTGCAAGAGGTGTCTTAGGAAATAAAGAGATTTGGACTGCAGTTCTTGTCCTAAAAAGTCTCCATTTTGGACGTCCCTGGAATTCTTTTCACACACATTAAAAAAAAATATCCAGTCAATCCACTTTTTTAAAAAAAAAAACAAAAAAACAATCCACACCTTGTAGTATTCGCTCGCTTATTTATAAACATCCAGGAGAACTTCAGATCACCTTTGCCTATGTACAAATGTCCATGGTTATCTTTGTATAGTGTGTTTGTCTCTAGTGGTGGTTGGTTCACTGAGGCCGCGGCTCTCCGTGGACTCTGAAGCGATACAAGCAAGTGTAGTCGGGATGTCCCCAGTTGGACAGCACCCGCACCTCCATGATTTGGAAAGTCTTCTCCGTGGGCTCCTGGAAGGTAAAAGAGGGTCCCAAAATGGCACCGATTTAAACTTTTACTTCATGTGCGGAATACGACAACACAACAGGACTTGGAATCCAATATTGTCATAAAGAAAAAATTAGTACCAAAAAAAATGCTCAGTGTTTTTCTTCAAGCCCTACTATAAACCAATTTGTCAAATTGAAATGACCTTAATAGGGAAGATTTGCAGTGATTCTCCATCCTCCTGGTAGGTGTAGTTACCGAGCAACTCGCCTTCTACCTGGTACTCGTCATTCAGACCCTGTAGGTAGCATGGCAAAACAAATTAAATCACTGACATCCAAATCTCATTTTTAAACGGTTCATATTTCGTACAAAGACTGTGAAGTCACGTGGGGCACTGCTGATGTTCCCGGTGGGGGACAGCACTTTGGGAATGTGTTCCAAGCAGAAGGACGTGGGCCGGATCATCATGGAAAGCCGGATCACAAGGTAACCCTGCGAGCCTTTGAACGCCCAGCAGTTGCCCGGGTACATGTCAGGCTGATGGAGCGGAAAGCAAATCGAAGCATGCTTACTATGTACCGTTACGAAATACCCTCGGGGTTCTGTCATTGCCACATCTGACCAACCTGGATGACAACGCGAGGGGACTGGGAGAAGTACCAGAGCGGGAGCCCGAACAGACTCATGAGGGCCGTCTTGGTCTCGTGCGTCTCTGAACAGCGGGTGCTGAGGATGCTACCACCTGAATACACGCAGGCAATACACACATTTTGAAATAAAAATGACATTGGTGAGGAATCGGGGTAAAGAATTGATTAAGATGGCAGCAGAGGATCATAAAGCATCAACACCATGCATCGAGCACGTACACAATCATGAACACGTTACATACACGACTGTCTTGAATAAAATAACCCGCTAACTTCCCATTCGGTGGTAACTATTCGCAGATTGTTAGCATCCCGGCTCTGTGTGTGAGAGTATGTTTCTTTTTTACCTCCAGATTCCAGGGCATAGTCCACCAGACCGGTCTTGTCCTGCGAGTAGAGCTTCAGCACATTCTGGGCAATCACTTTTACTTGCTGGGATAGAAAAACACAGAGAATTTTAGTTGGGCTCTAATTGTAGCATATTGGGGCCCGTTCACCTTCGGAAGTTCCGCAGGAGCTCATTTTGATGGGACATTCTAAGTTTATTTCCACTACCTCTTCTGACAGGCACTCAGCAGAAGCAACGCTCTGCACCGTGCCGGTCACCGTGCCAACAACGGACGTGGCCTTGGACTCTGCCTCGCTGAGCGTCTGCGCGCGGGTGAGCTCCAGCTGCCGGGAAATGTTGCTCAGGATGCTGTGCTCCAGTGCGACCAGTGATGCCCGCAGGTCACCCGTGCTCGCGTAGTGCTGGGACAGCCAGACGACCAGAGACTCGGGCAATTCGCCTTGAGCCTCGCCGGACGAGCTGCTGCCGAAGAACAGAGCGTGCAGCTCCTTGCGTACTTGGGAGGAAACCTGAGCCGACATCTGCAAAGAGAAGGTATTAAAATTAAAAATAAACTAAAATAAATTAGAACTATACAAAAACTAGGGCCGGACCGATTCAATAAATTAGCTTTCATTAACACATTACAACATAAGACAAATATAATGACATTCACTGCACCTCCCACACCAAAAAAATTTGACCCCCCCCCCAAAAAAAGCCTGAATTTTGCCTATTTTTCCTAATCCGCAAAATAATGTAAAACAGTCACACTTTCAAATTCTAATACAGTCAAAATTTCAAACTTTCAAACAAAAGTGTCCTAATTAATGCATATAATTTTTATGTGGGTATTATTATTATCATTAATTTATTTACTTAAATTAATTAAAAATCGGCTAAGCCCTAATTAAAATTGTACATCTCAGTGCATAATGAAGCTCATGTGAAGTTGGTAAACTACTGCGTCCAGTTTATGTAACATCGGTTCATTATAGGGCACATGCTGGGGGCATGGTGTTGGTGCTTTGTCTTTTGTGTTCTAAATGCTTTGCTGCCCTCTTGTGGCGTCTATACGCTAGTACCAATCTTTGTCCCTGTCCTCAAAAATGGGGTTTCAGGAAGTACAATTGTGACTACATTGAGACAATTTTATTCAGTGTAGTAAAATCCCACATTAAGAGCAAAAAAAAAAAAAAAAAAAAAAAGGCCATATCATGATGTCCTATTTTGCTATACGACATAGATGGGAAGTTGCGTCTTACCGTCTCCTGCAGCGAGTCCAGCTGCTCACACTTGCCCTTGCATCCCATGACGCCCTGCAGGTCCTGCCTGACTTTTCCCAAGTCCAGCTCAAGTCTTTGCACCTCAGCCTGCAACGCATCGTGCTCCTCCTGCCCCACACCGACATTGCTGCAACAGGGCAACACACATTCGAGCTTCGCCTACCAAACAAAACCATTTCATCCTTAAAATAAAGAGTCGGTGTTTGTTGTGTCGGTACCTAAGAGGAGGTGCGTCTGCAGCCGCAGCGACGACCACTTTCATTTTCTCTTTGTCAAGTTCATATTGTTGCTGCTTCTGTTGCACCGCCTACACAACACGGGTAAATAATGACAAACTATTTTAAAAAAACGCAGCAAGAGGCGATATGTAAAATAAACACTGTCCGGAAGCGTCCTAACACGAGGACCAACTACAGTATGAGTTGCAAATCTACTACATGTCCTGACATTTGATACATCAATCCTTTGTTTGGGAGCCGTGGATTTATCAAGCCTGCGAACAAAGCCTTCAACTATACCTCAGTCTTGGCAGCCAGAGCGCTGAGTAGCAATTCCAACTCAGCTAACCGCGTCGTTTGACTCCCTTGAAGCGCTATGAGCTGCTCTTCGCTCTGCAGGGATGCCAAATGACACCGGAAGCGACATGAAGCTTGACACTCGACACCGGCAACATAATCCATATGATCCAGTCTTACCTGCTCTCGGACGGCATGGTCCTTTGTCAGCTCTCCGCGCAGCACGCCCAGCTTTTGCTCCAACAGCGATGACACCCACAGTCCCAGTGTCTCCCTGTCTGTCTCGGTGTGGAGCTTCTCCCTCAGGGTGGAGTACAGAGCCAATATGTCCGTGTGATGCTGCTCCTGCTTCTGGTCGCTCTGCTGGACTCGCTGCCACAGCAGAGTTAGCTGGCGTTCCAGACGTTCCAGGCGCTCCAAGTCCAAACTAGGGACTACAATTGGCTAGGGGGAAAAAAAGTCGGGTACATTTAGACCACAAGAAATGCTGGTGAGTAATTCTTGATTTTTACGATGCAACCCACCGGCATCTGTGAGACGGGAGCAGAGGTCTGGGGAAGTTTTGCAGGAGGTACAGAAACTGGAGCAGAGGCTGGCATCAAGTTCGAAAGGTAGGTGATGGGAGAGGAAGGTCGCCACTCTGTGAGGGTTATGGCCGGTAGGTAGCCAAGGAGCACGGCAGCCGGCGGACCCCCCAACCCCCAAGCT